AAGTTGGCCAGGTCCCCAGAGCTTGGCTGTGGGGAAGGCTGGGCACTACCACCGAGCAAAACAAACATTCTGCTTCCCTGGGCTGAGGCCCCTCCCAGACACGGAACCAGGCAACCAGACTGAGGATGAGCAGGGCAGACGGGGAGCTTGGTTCTCTTCTTCAGCCGCTGTTAGAGTCTGGGCCAAAACCCCCGGACATCAGGGTGCGAGCTAGTCAACCCCCAGAGAACCACAAAGAGTCTCACTGGTAATGCAAACAGCAAACAGAGTTTATTGCACCAGCATGCTGGGGCCCGACTGCACTTGGGGCACATAGGCCAGCCAAGCTGGGCAGTTGGACCCCCGAACAGCCCAAGACAGAAGCTTATATAGGCCCTTTTGGGTTGGGAAATACATCAAAAGTAACAACCTTAGGCATGTTCATTTTTATGGCCTTCAGGCACAGGCAGCCTGTTCTGTTCCCATACCCATTATCTGTATGGCTCATCCCATTCTCACACCCTTATCTTCCTCCTGTTCCTGGGACCGGAGAAGAATTGTGCCCTTGCCCCCCTGCACCTGGGTTCACAAAGTTGCAGGACAGCAAAGAACAGATTTATCACTAAAGCAGAATCCTCCCAAGCTCCAGGCAGTTTTCTCTACACAAAGGAACCTCACGCTGCCCAACAATATAGCATTTTACCCACACTCTAACATTGCCTGCTGGTTCCAGTAGCCAGCCAGCCACCAGCTCTCAACGCTCACTCAGGACGCCCATTGGAGGCTCTGTAGCGGATTCGCGTTTCTCATTCTCGTTTCTGTAGCCTTATAGGACCCGAGGGGAGCGACTTGGTTCGAGGTACATTCAGTATTGGCCCTGTTCTGGTCTCCTCTCACCTGCCCCCTGCTGCAGACACCACCATCCACAGACTGTGTAACCAGGGCACCGTCGCCCTCTGGCTTGACTGGGTTTGGCCAGTGGAGGCACTGACAAGGATGGAAAGAACAGGAAGTGCAAGCTGTCCTTTTGGGGGTTGGGGGCAGGGTGGGTGGCAGCTGGGGTCCGTTGGTGATTCCAGCGTCAGTTAGCCCCACCCCTCCACCGCCGCCTCCCTTGACTCCGCCCTCTCTCTATTTTCCGTCCTTTCCTCCGGGAAGGGGGCTCTGTGCTTCCTCCAGTCCCTAGGCTGGTTCCCTGCCCACACCTCCGGAAGCAGCTCTTCCGGAAGCAGGTCCTCCAGGTAAACCCTCAGCAAGCCTTTGGAAGTTTCCCTTCTTTTACCACTTCTTTCACAATTTTCAGAATTAGAACTCCAGCCAAGTACTTTTTTTTTTTTTAAGATTTATTCATTGTTATTGGAAAGTCAGATACACAGAGATGGGCAACTGTTTGATGCAGCAATTTAAGATGCCCATAGCTCACATCAGGGTGCCTCCTTTGGCACCCGACTCCAGCTTTCTCCTAATTCAAATCTTGGAGACAGGATGATGGTTCCAGTAATGGCGTTCCTGGCAGCCAGGGGAGACCTGAATTGTGTGTCTGGCCTCTTTGGTCTAAGTGGCACTTGGGGAGTGAATCAGCGGGTGGGAGCTATTTCTTTCTCCTCTCCATCTCCATCCCTGACCTCAATAAATATATATATTTTACAAATTGGAATTCTAACTTCTCTTAGATGGGAACAGGTTCAGCGGGAAGATGCAGTGGCTACTTGTGAAGGTACAAAGTCCCTCATCAGGTGCTGGGAGCCTGCCTCCAGCAGTACCCAGCTCTTTGGTCCTCAGGGCAAATGAGTAAGTGGAAAGTTAGCCCACGCTCTGCTCCCGCTCTGCTTCCGGGTGACAGATTTGCCCCAACACTCCGCTGTGGCTCACTGTAATTATCTGTGTTTGGGTATAAGCGGCATTCCTCTTGCCAGCGATCTCATTGGTGGGTGGCAGACTTCCTAACAACACGTGAAGGATTCGCAAGGGGGTAAGTCCCCAGGGCTCCTTCCACTGCCGTCTCATTTGTGAAAATACAGACGAGTGCCCACGTGGCAGGGCCGGGGAGATTGAGTAACATTTGGAAGCTCTTACAGCAGCTGATGGAGACTGCCAGCTAATGCTGTCATTATCCTCCCATCAAACTGCATCTTGGCCCACTCTTCTACAACTTAGGCACTTAGCAGGGCGCTTCAGGGGGGATGGTTAGGGATCCCCAAGTCCCCTCCCCGCTTGCACTGCTCTTCTCAGCACCCTTGGCCCTCAACACCCCACTCCCGAGTCCATGTTCTTCACTGTGTTTTTCACCCCAGGAAGGACACAGTGAGCAGAGGAGATTCTTCCGTTTTGCTGTTCCCACTCCTAGTGGATTGTGAAAGGCGGCCTGGCACGGGGGCATGTGCAGCTGGGCTTCCCCCTAGGCTCCGCAAAGGACAGGAAGCGGGCACCATCGTGTACCACACTCCTCTATTTAAGTTTCCTTCCCAGATTCTATTTGAACAGAAGCATACAAGCCTTTAAAAAGCTGAAAATCCTTGACCTGCTGAGGGAATAGAGCCTCAGACTTTCAAAATCCCAGCGCTAATCTCTGGAGCCGCCCTCGCCTCCCGTCAGCCAGCCTGGGCTCCCCGTCCGCCCTCCCCCCGAGATGAACAAGCATGCTTCTGTCTGTTTATCTGGGCTGTTTTTCCCAGGCGGCTGCCAGGAGCAGCAGACCTTGTCCTCTCGATTCCCAGGCCTCCAGGGGGAAGATAAAAGCCACAACACTGTTTACTGGAGGGGCCTGCGGAGTCCCGCTGGCATTCCAGCCAGTGCAGGGCTTCCAAACCCTGGGGTCCACAGCTAGCGGGACACCACCTCACCTGAAGCCTGGGTCAGGCCTGGTCCCAGGGGCTGCCAGCAGGGAGGGGAACAGGCAGCAAGCTCCATAGCACTGAGTCCCAGGGAGGGGTCTCCAGTACCTTGACTTAAGGGGTCGGGGGTTGGGATGTGGAGGACCGAAGGTTCCAACTGATCAGTACTGTACATTGAAACTCCAGCAGAAGGAGCAGGAAGATGTGGGGCACAAGTTCCCACCTCCAGAGCTCGGCCAGGAACGCACATCTCTCAGCACAGGCTCCCTCCCTTAACTCACCGGGCTCTCTGGTTCAAACATTTCCTGATTGGGGGCAAGAGGCGCCCATGTTGGGGCACAGTGGGTGAAGCTGCCACCCACAATGCTGCCATCCCATAAAGGCTGCTCCTCTTCTGATCCAGCTCCCTGTCAGTACACCTGGGAAAGCAGCAGAGGATGGGCTAAGCGCCTGGGCTCCTGCCACCCATGTGGGAGACCCGGATGAAGCGGCATTTCTGGAGTGAATCAGCAGAATGGAAGTTCTTGTTCTCTGCCCCTCTCTGTAAAGTTTGCCTTTCAAACAAATAAATCTTGAATAAACACATAAAAAAGACGGAGCCAAGAGGAGCCCATGAGCTCTCTGGTCTACCTTGAGCCACATCCCTCTCCATGCAACAAGAAGCCCTGGACCAGGGCATGTGCGTCTGCCCAGAGCGGGCACTGCTGCTGCCCACCGCTCTTTTTAAAATTCAGCGGGACCGCTGGGTGAAGCAGCATTTGAGTGCTGGTTCGAGCTCTGGCTATTCCATGTTTGATCCAGCTTCCAGCTCAGCAGCCTGGGCAAGCAGCAGCAGATGACCCCAATGCTTGAGCCCCTGCACACACAGCGCCTACCCAGATGGGAGCCCTGGCTTGGCCTGGCCCAGTCCCAGCTGTTGTAGCCATTTGGGGAGTGAACCAGTGGCTGGGAGAGTCCTTCTCCCTCTGTCACTGTGTTTTTCAAATCAGTAATTCTTTTAAAATAATATTTGTTATTTGAAATATTTGTGACAGAAGAGAGAGGACGGAGAGCTCCGATTTGTGGGTACACTGCCAGTGGCTCCAATGGCGCAGGCTGGCCAGGAGGCTGAACTCCACCACACTGTCCATAGCCACAGCTTCTGTCACTTCGGTCCCCCTCGCACGTGTTTCTTTACAGCGCTGTCATCATCTGACCCGCTGTCACTGTGCAGCCCCCTGTTGCCCCTAACAAATCCAGTCTTGGCAGAGGCCTAGTGGAGATGGCCTAGCCCAGCAGCCAACGAAGGCGCGACCTGTGACAAGAGAGGCAGCCTCTAAGCAGCTCACTTCAAGACAAAGCAGGTAGGGGCGCGAGGGCCCACGAGCACCCCGAGAGAGGGGAGTTTCCGGGACGGAAGCGCCGGACAGGGGTCGAGGGTGGCCACTGAGAATCCCCACGGGAGGAACCCCACCAACCCTGGGCGGAGAGGAGCCGGCCTCCCCCTCAGACTGCTCACGGCCCTCCCGCGCGTCCATCTTCCCTCCCATCTCCTCACAACGTCTTATCGCTGCGGGGGCGGGTGGGGGGCTGCCCTCGGAGCTGCCCAGAGAACAGCGCGTCCACGGCTCGCTGCTAGCTAACCCAAATGGGATCCCCTTCTGTGGGTTACGGGGGCCGCGAGAGGCCAAATGACTTCCCGGGAGTCCCCGCGGCAGGACTGGGCGGGCGCCCGATTCCCTTCGTGTGGAGCTGGGGGCTCCGCGCCCGGCCTACGTGCCCGGTCCCTGGGCACTTGATGCGGGAAGCCGACCAGCTAGGGGCACAGGCCGCGGGCCCACAGCCAAGGAGACGCTCTCCGTCAGGGGCGGGGCAGGGGCGGGGCCGGCGTCGGGGGTGGGGCCACGTGGCCCCGCCTCCCTCAAGCCAACGGCCAAGGAGGCGCTCTCCGCCAGGGGCGGGGCCGGCTTCGGGGGTGGGGCCACGTGGCCCCGCCTCCCTCAACCCAGCAGCTTAGGAGACGCTCTCCGCCAGGGGCGGGGCCGGCTTCGGGGGTGGGGCCACCTAGCTCCTCCTCCCGCAGGCCATCAGCCAACCCGGCGCTCGCCCCGCCGGGGGCCGGGGGCGGGGCCGGGGGCGGGGCTCCAGGCTCCTCCTCCTCTCGGCGGGCAGAAGCTCCTGGAGCAGCCGCGCGGCGCCGCCCAGGCACGGACTGGTCCCCAACTCGTGCGCGGCGGCGGGGGTGGGCGCAGCCCCGGAGGATGTGGAAGTGCGGCGGCTGCTCGCGGCCGCGGCCGTCGGGGCTGCTGCTGCTGCTGCTGCTGCTGCTCGCCGTGCCCCGCGCCCTGGCAGCCCCGCGTTCGGCGCTCTACTCGCCCTCCGACCCGCTGACGCTGCTGCAGGCGGACACGCTGCGCGGCGCGGTGCTGGGCTCCCACAGCGCCTGGGTCGTGGAGTTCTTCGCCTCCTGGTGCGGCCACTGCATCGCCTTCGCCCCGACGTGGAAGGCCCTCGCTAACGACGTCAAGGGTGAGAGGCTGCGCCAGCCCGCTGGCGCGCCCCGGGGCTCCACTGGCCGCCTTCCTCCCGGACCGGCGCGCCGCGTCCGAGCAGCCTGCGCCCACCGCTTCCTCCTCGCACCTCTCACCGCCCTCCGCTCCTAGCCCTCCTTTCAATCCAGGCTTGGCTTCTTGGCCCGCGTAGCCAGCTTCTTTCTCCGCTTGCCCTGCGCCCCCTGTGCCAGGGGCGCCCCGTCCCTCCGAGGGACACGTCCCTTTGTTCGTGTCCAGCCTTGTGGCAGCCCCCTTCCTCTCGCCCAGGGCGCTGCTTCGCCCCACTGCGTGTGGGTGGGGTAGGAAGGTGGGGTGGGTAGGGATCTGGCCTCATTCTGCCGCCCCCACCACTTGTCTGCACCCCAGGGTCAGTTGACACAGCTGGCCACCCAGATTTCCTTTCTCAGCTTCGTCCTCAAGGTGCGTGCGTGCTCTCACCTGTGTGGCTGGCTTAGGCCCCCCGCCTCCCTTGGGCCCTCCCTCCCACCCGAGCCTCGCTGATGTGGCCAAGAAAATCCTGTTTCTCCTGGTTCCTGAGGGCCCTTCATTTAATAAGAGCCTGAGGGGTAACGGGCTAAGAAAACCACTACCTTTAATGGAGAGAGGTTTGAAGGTGTACCCTATTACAGATACTGTTAGCATTACTGAAAACCTGCGACTTCAGGCCGAGGGCATAGTCAGCAAGGAAGGCGTGCTGGCCACGGCCGACGAGTACTGCATCTAGTTACCACCGAGTTTCTGTTCCCAAGGGAAGGAGCCCTCAGATGTGGGTCGTGGGGCGGGCGTGGCGTGACAGAGTGCCACGGCGGTGGCGGCCGGGTGGTGATGATGGGTTTCCGATCTGCTGCCTCTGGGTACTACTTCCTGATTTTGGTGCCAGGGCAGAGTGGGGTTCCTGCCCTAAAATGGTCATGGAGGAGAGCTGTGGGCATCACCAGGCATGGGCCTCCTCCCAGAGAAAGGAGAGTGGGAGAGGTGAGAGGGTGCCCAGTGTGCCGTGGGTGTTCGCTGCACAGCGCCATACAGGGGTGCATCCACAGCTGTGGGTTTTCAAGCTCAGCGTTGCCTGCACCCCACACCCCCCTCCCACCCCCAAAGCTTGAAGCACAGTGACTGAAGAGGCTGGCCGGCACTGGGCATGTGTTGTGGTGTGTGTGGGCCTGAAAATTCCTTGTTTTTCTTTCTTTTTTTTTTTTTTTTTTAAGATTTTTATTTGTTTGAAAGGCAGAGAAAAGAGGATGAGACAGACAAGGTTTTGCCACCTGCTGGTGCACTCCGCACAAGACCGCAGTGGCTGGGGCTGGGCCGGTCACAAGTCTGCAGCCATGAGCTCTGCCTGCGTCTTCCAGGTGGATGACAGGAGCCCAGGATCTTGCTGCTGGTCTGCCTGGTTTCCCAGGCGTATCAGGAGGGAGCTGGCTTGGAAGCAGAACAGACAGGATTTGAGCTGCCTCCTGATTATTTGTTCATTCGAAGGAATTAACAGAGAGAGAGAGGTCTTCCATCTGCTGATTCACTCCCCAGATGGCCACAGTGGCTGGGACTGGGCCAGGCTGAAGCCAGCAGCCTGGAACTCCATCCAGGTCACTCGCATGGGTGGCAGGGGCCCAGATACTTGGACCATCTCCTGCTGTTTTCAAGGGCTCATTAACAAGGAGCTGGATCCCAAGTGTAGCAGCCAGGAGGACTTGAGCCAGAACTCGCCTGGCGTGTCGGTATCACAGGCAGCAGCTTAGCTTGGTAGACCACAACCCCAGCCCTCTGGAAAACAAGCAGAACTTACAAACTCTTCTAGGTCGTACGTCAGCGTGCGTGCCTCTCAGTCGGGCCATCTCTCAGCAGCCCTGCTCACTCTTCTGGTGTTGTCAACATATGGGATCAGGGCAGGAGGAAGGGAGAAGAGGAGGGGTGGGGGAGCACCAGAGTGGTGGTGGTCTTGGAGGACACACGGGCCCAGCCATCTGACCAGTGTGCTGTGTGTTTGCTCCGTGCGGCTTCAAGAGGCCCGTGGTGGCTGTGCCTGACTCAGGCTCCGAGGAGCTCCTGGCCGAGAGTGCTGGAGGGAAGAGGAGTTGCCGGCTGACTCAGAGCCTTGGCCTCTTAGCAACCCAGAGTTTGCCTCTGAAAGCACATGCGGATGCTGACCCTGCCTGCCTCAGGGCCATGATCGCCACTCTTTTCTTGTCTTTCTTTCTTTTTTTCCTTTTTTTTTCTTTTTTTGCAAAGAAGAATGTACAGAAAGGAGAGACAGAAACATCTTTCATCTGTTGTTTCACTCTCCAAATGGCTACAATAGCTGGAGCTGAGCCGACTTGAAACCAGGAGCCAGGAGCTTCTGGATCTCCCACACGGGTGTAGGGTCCCACGGCTCTGGGCCGTCCTCGACTGCTTTCCCAGGCCACAAACAGGGAGCTGGATGGGAAGTGGAGCAGCCAGGACATGAACTGGTGTCCCTCTGGGATACTAGCACTTAAAGGTAGAGGATTAGGAAATTGAGCCAGCGTGCCTGCCCCAGCCAAGGTCTTTCCTCCTATGCCTGGAGTTGACAGTCTTTCCCTTTGACCTCTGAGAGGCAAACGGAAGGCTCAAGGTCTTTAGGTGAAACCCGGATGGACCGGAAGTGGAGCTGAGGCCTCTGCACAGGTTTGGAGGTGGTCACTCCCCCCCCCACACACACCGCAGCAGGATCTCAGCAGGGGAGCCACTGCGCGGTCCAGGCCGGTAGTGGTGACCCCCGTCCTCTGCTCCAGCCCAAATGGGTGTTTTCTAGCTGAGTCAGGCTGAGCAGTTGGGGTGGGTCCAACCTCACTGTGCTCCGCCATCTGCTGTGGCCTGACCCCCTGGGTGCTGTGTGACTGGCACATGCCCCATGCTGAAGGCGGTTCAGTGTGTGGGCAGGAGCAGAGAGAGTGTGGAAGGGCATGGTGGCTGGGGAGGAGCATTTTGCAACCCTGCCCAGCTGGCTGCAGATATTTCATCGGACTAGATAGGGCTCTTTGGGTGGGTGACTTGGGTGGTAGGTTGCCTGGGTTCCTGTGGGCTAGTTGCTGCCTTGGGGCACAGCAGTTGTTTCAGAGAAACTGGCTTGCCCCCAACCGCCACCCACTCCCCTTCTGCCCCAGAGCCACTCATTGCCCCACCAGGTGGCTGGCATTGATTGTGCCCATGCAGACCTTCATCGGTGCTAATCATTCTGCAAATATTTATTGAGTGACAAAGCATTGTTTACATTACAAGTTTCCACGCACAGCAGGAAACTTGGCCAGCAGTCTAGGTTGGAAAAGGGCCCCAAAGGAGTGGCTAAGCCCTCTCTTGTTGCAGGAATTCAGGGAAGGGGAGAGGCTTTGGGGAAGGCCGACCTGGTCACTGAAAGCCTTCATTCAGGCAGCCATTTAAGCTGGCATATGCCTGATGCCAGCACTTGGCTGAGGGGCCTTTATAAGCTTTTGTTATCACCACCAAAGGAAATACCCAAAGCACAGGCACTACCTGACTCGCCCAAGCTGGCACTGGTACTGGAGAAAGCTGTTGAGCCCGTCCCGTCCTTTCCAGCCATCCAGCGCCTGGGCAGGGAGGACTGGCAGGGGTGGGACAGCAGGTGCGGAGCCACGGAAGTGAGCCTTGCAGGCAGGCACGGGCGCACAGCATCGGCCTCCCTTTCTCTTACTGGGCACACATAACACCTCCTCCTCATAGCCCTGGTACTCCAAGCGACAGGAGCCCCATCTAGCACATAGCACTCAGGGGTGGCAGCGTCCATGCTTCCCAGGACTCCATGTGTGAATGTGAGCAAGGGCAGTGGCTCCTCTCAGACCTGGATGTCAGCCAGGGGGAGGGGGAGGGAAGGCCGTGGCGTCTATCCCGTGACTCCACAGCCCAGAAATTTCCAGCCAGGAGGGATGAGCTAACGGATCTGGAGGACTTGCTTGGAGGCTCTGCAGAGGGGCTGGAGCCGAGACCAGGCAGGGTCTGGCCAGGCCCCAGGCGCTCCTGGTGGTCTAGCAGAGTCTGGGCCCAGTCTTGTTGATCAGCAAGAGGCCACATGGTCATCTTTTGGGTCTTGAGTTTCCTGCCACCGACACCCGAGTGATACAACTGTCAGAGTCTGAGAGCCTATGGATCCTGGCCCTCATCCTGAGCAAGCTGAGTGGGGTACAGAGAGGAGCCCTCTGGAGCTCCCAGTGGTCAGGCCTTCCGGGGGACCCATGCCCTCCTGTGCTGGAGGCCCTGGAGACAGGACACTGCCCACACCCTTGGCCATACACATGCCCTCCAACCGGGGCATCCCTGCACTGGGTTTCTTTCCTTCCCTGGCCCTCTGGTGTCTGGCCATGGGGATGGCCTCCCAGGAATGTGTGCATGCCCAGCTGTGCCCAGCAGCTCCGCTTCCTGAGCCCACGTCCCTTCACTGCTCAGAAGGCAGTGCCCCTGCACAGGGAAGGTCTCAGCTGGCTCCCTTTTACTCACTTGATTGCCAGGCTCGGGGCAGCATTTGTTTATGAACTGGGCCCAGACTCTGCGTGCAGCTCTGCGCAGCAGTGCACCTGCTGGGCCGAGGAGCTGAACGCACGCCCAAGGGTGCTTCTCCTCTGGGTGTGTTGCAGGAGGGTGGAAGAGCTTCAATTTTTTTTGATTACTTAAGTTTTCAGTTTGCCTTTTTGTGAAGTCCTTTAAAAGACACACACACAAAAAATTTTTTTTAATCTTAAAAGCTTCTGTATATTGATAGGCATTTGTGGGAGGCCCCATTTGGGACCCTTATTATGTTTTAAATTTATTTTTTAGTGGCCAGCGTCATGTATAATAGGATAAGCTTCTACCTCTGGTGCTGGCATCCACATGAGTACGCGTTCAAGTCCTAGCTATTCCACTTCTAATCCAGCTCTCTGCTTGTGGCCTGGAAAAACGGTGGCGGAAGGCTCAAGTCTTTGGGCCCCTGTGCCCATGTGGGAGACCTGGAGGAGGCTCCTAGCGCCT